TTGAACGCCAGCAGAACCAGAACACACAATCCGGAGTCCCCAACCCTTGGCTCGTACCAACTTGCATCTAATACTCTTCAGAATTAGATGCGCAGGAAGTGTCCCTTCAACGATAGTGTGTGCAAATTGGCTTCTACTGAGTAGACAAATTCTCTGAGTATTTTACCAGAGTAACTGTTATACAGCCAGAAAGAGCTGGAGCAAGTTCCCAAATTGAATGAAAGTCAAAAATTTCAAAAAGCAGGCACCTTCCTTTATCTGTTGAATTTAATACATTCTATTTCTAATATTCTTTCACTTTTTTAGGCAAAATACTTATTCTCACAGCACATAAAAACTGTCTTGTCTAGCAAGTGTTATTTGATTAAAAAAAGCAATTATAAATGTACAGAAATAATCATTCTTAACCTGCAACATCGCTCACCATAGGAATGCTGCTCTCAATGAAATTAACCTTTTTTTATTCAATCAAAGAATGCAACTTATTTAAATTCTGTTAATCATTCTCAGCATATATAGTTATCTCAATCAAATACCAGACACTTATTATTGAGCAAACAGTGAATTTATTCATTTTACATCTCGAGATGTGAGCAGCCAAGAGTTGTACACATGGAGCAACTCTCCATGACAACAGCAAGTCAGGTATATTATAATAAGGTGTGAATACTCCATTGGGCTTTTTATAACACTTTCACTGTCCTCTACATCACAGATTATCCTATACCCACAGACATATTACAACACTAGTCCACTTGAGTTTTAAAAAAAGGGAATGTTCAGTTTCAAATATGTTATTATAGACAATTTACAGTCAATAGTGATATCCTCAGAAATAATTAATGAATGGAATGGTTTAAGAATTGCCCAATTATGACTTCTATACAATACAGTATTCATTGTGAGTATCAGAAACTTAACCAAAGTGTGTCCTCTTTAACCAACAAAACAAGAAATCAAATAACCAAAATAAATACTATTCAGCCCCTTATGCTCAGGTATTCCACAAAACCGTGCAATAGCAAAACCACTCTACCCATTCTATTTCTGGGCAAAAAATATTCATGAATATTTCTCAGCTCATATCGATTATACAATAAAAGCTCTATATCCATCCATGTTTGCTATTAAAACTTATCCACTGTCACTTCTTTCCAGACAATACCTTAGGCCCCAGTTATACAAAAATCATTGCTTCTCACAAATTATTTTTCTATCAGTCTGTAAGCATCCCTCTATCCTCTCACACTGTTCTCAAGCAGATACTTATGCATTTTTTTTATTGACGTACTTAAACAATGTAGGATCAAACAGCTTTTGTTGCGTCTGCTCCACACAACCTATGCTTCGGAAGAAAGGGAAACAAGCTTTGAATCTTTAGTTTCACTTGAGGCTTATAATTTTAAAACTATGCTCTCCAGTTCTACTTTCATAGTCTGGGTCAAATCCGGCTTCCAATGCGTGTGATACATTTGATTGCTTGCAGAGGGGAAAACAGCTGCTGCTTGAATTCCACACCTCCATCTGGTGGAACCAACACTGAATGGGAAGGGACATGTGCCGGAGCTGGGGACAGGAAGATGGTGGCAATGCCGTCACACATTTCTTGCTGAACTGTGTTGCCTACCTGCAAGCTCGCAGGGAGTTCGGGGAACCTACAATCCACTTGGTGAGGTCTCAAACCCACGCTTGCCGGATGTAGAATAACCAACAAGTGTTTATTCTCCTGGAGAGATAAGCAGGGTCCCCTTGGAGCTGAAATAGCTCTAAGATGATACATTTGGTAACGGAGTGTGAGAATCGAGCCAGCTCTCTGGAGAGAGCTTGTTAGTTCTGTCCTGAGCCAGGCAGATCTGCAGTATCCCAGCGCACTGCTGATCAATGCACAGCCAGTCTGGCTCATTGGCAGTCACTGGGGGCAGGGAATAATCCCACCCAACTCTTGCTAACCCTGCAAGCCAAACCCCTAATGGATTGGGTGGTCCTAGCTGGACAAGCAATGGGAAATTTGCCAGAAAGTAGGTCAAATAGGCTGCTTATATCTACATCATCTATTCCTCCCAATATTTTGAAGTCTTCAATCATGTAGTTCCCCCTCCCCCTCAATCTTTATTTTTTTAATGAAAACTTCAGCTTTGTAAGCTTCTATATCAGAGTTCCCAAGCTCTTCACTGAACCTATTCCAATGATTCAATGACCTTTTGATGGTAGAGTTACTGAAACTGAACACAATATTTCTAATGTAGCCTTAACAGTGATGAATACAAGATTTGAACACCTTCTTGAGAATTAGTCAATTCCATCAGAAATGGAACCTGGTATTCAATGAATGCAATAGAATTAAATGTAAGGATGCACAAGCTTACAAAACTGGTTTGAATTAAAAAAGCTCTTCGGCCCATCTAATCTCATCTCTCGAGACTACTCACCCTACTGTCCTCCAATCACAGCATCAAGCTGTTTTTCTTAAAAAACATCCTGTGTTCTGGCCTAACCATCCCTCACGGCAACTTGTTCTCGTCATTAATTACCCTCTGGGTAAAGAAAAGCTTCCTGCTATTTGACCTGAAATTGTCCTACACAATTCTAAATCTATACCCCCTTGTTTGACTGTCTTGAATTATCCTAAAGTTTTGATCTCGTGTTTAGTTTTTCAATCCAATTTAAAATTTTCTATAACTCTTATGAGGTACCCCCTGAGTTGTCTTCTCTCAAGCTTAAGAGCCCTAGCTTATCCAATCATTACTCCAAGCTCAATGCTTCAGCTCACCAAAATTCATCCCTCTTGTACATTTCTTCAAACAGCAGGGAAAGTTTGTTTGATGGCTTATGTCAAATATTGATCACTGTGAAATACAGATTTTTCCTGTTATTTCTTGTACATTTTCTTATTTTAAGTTTCTATGAATGATCTCTGGCACAGCTTTCTTGAATGATGAGGTAACAATCTGGGCTTACAATAGATGTACCATCTGTTTGTCAGCTATCAATGATCGATAAACAACAAGTTTCTGCAGCTGAATGCTGACAAAAGACAAAACGATACTCCTTAGCTCTCATCAATGACTTCTCACATATGTCTCCAACCTCCTTAATCATCCCGGCCTACCCCTCAGAATTATTGAACCTAAGCTCAGCTTAGGTGGAAGGTTCAATTGCCAGCTGTCCTTCCTACCCCCACATCCAGTTCCTGAGCAGAAGACTCTTTTCGAATGCAATGGAAACTTTAACATCCAGGCAGACTCGGTTTAACAGTTCTGAAGAACCGCACCTCAAATAACCCAGCACTACATTGGAGTGTCAGCTTAGATTACATAAATTCAAAGTCCCGATGTGGGACTTGAGCCAAAAATCTTCTGAGAGGCAAGAGTGATACCAAGTGAGCCAGACTGGCATCTGAAATATTTAAGAGGCAATAGCCAAAAGAAACAAAATCCCAATGAGTAAGTCAACTTCTATTTTCATATTCAAGAATTAAACTGAAAATCCATCATCATGGGTGCTATGCTCTATTTATACACCATCATTATTATACAATGCTGTAATTATGTATAATAATCTTTGCATTTAATAGATCACTTATAAAGTCAAAGTCTTGGTGTGCTTTACAATAATTCAATGGTGGCCAACTCATGGCCTGCAGGCTGTAAGTGGTCTGCGGGGCCCTCAAGAAGTCAACTGCCAAATATTCACACTTGTCCGCTTTGTTTCCAGTTGCTACGAGTGGCAATGTTTATAGTGTGGCCATAAATCAAGAAATAATCAATCAAGAAACTTTATTTAGAGTAATTGCCTCTACAGTAATTAATGAGAATAATGACTGATTTGCATCATTGCAGTTGCATATAGTATTATTCCAGAAACTGCCAAGAGGTGTATGACCATTTATTTTGCTTGTTTTAAAATTTTGCTTAAAAGAGTCTTGTTAAAACATTGTCTATGCATACCACCTAGATGTTAGAAGCCACAACCCATTGTATATAGGTGGCAGTTGGCAGATACTTTCAGCAAACATTCTATCAGAGTTTGTGTTTAAGTTTTTAGCCACATTTACAGTCATTTCAGACTGCTTCTAATGCAAGCTATATTCCACAGTTTACACTCATCAACATCTCTAAAAACATTGAACAGGACAATTCAATTATAACATGACAATCTGGTCTCAGGCCCTGCATAAAACAAAATGGAGAAAAATGATCAACTTCTGGATCATAAACTCGCCCCCTACATTCCTTCTTGCACATCCACAGTGGTTTCCCATGCTTTACAAAAAGACAGACTTCTTGGTTGTTGGGTTGCTGTCCATGTCAGTTCCTTGGATATCCACACAATATGCAGGAAGCATCATGAATGTCACTTTGTACACATGTGCATGAAGTAATGCCAGCATATACAACAAACAGAAATGAATTTAGTGTAATCTGACAACCCAGAAACTGGCCATTTTAGCATAATGGAAGCCAGTACCTGTCTCATCAACAAACTTACTTAGAAAGGAAATCTTATAATGAGTTTTCCCTGTATCTAATACATGGCTGTGTTTCTATGCACTGAAATAGCATTAAATTACTTTTCTGTTTTAACCTAGATTCAAAAAAGCTAATGACATAAGAACAAAATAATTCACGAGTATGCAGGTTGCAGTTTCTTTCAGACATCAGTAATGTTTCAATCAATAGATCATTTAAACATTACAAATCACATGGAAGCCAATTCATCAGTTTGTAATCTGTAAGAATGCCCATCTGAACACTTAACAGAATGACAGCAGTCTTCATGTTAAAAATGGATATACATCAAAAACAGACAAAAATTTAACTTGACCTGCTTTAACTCAGCTGATAAATATTTATGAGGAGCTGCATGTGGTTAATGTTAGCTTTACTCTTTGGAAGAAGAAATCCATTATAAAATTAATAGCGAAACAAAAGCCTACAGGTTCTGCACATCTGTCAGGTTTACTTGATGAATGCCTGTTTTGCTCTCAAGTTGTCTGTTACCTGACAGGGTTGCTGGTCAAAGATACCCGAAGGGATTCCAGGGAACTGAAAAGCCTTTCATCTGCCACACCTGACTTCAACTCATGAATGAACTCCTGGGGTAAGATGGTCATGTACTGTCTGCTCTTCAAACCACCCTGCAAAGAAACAGAAATCACACTGAGAAATATTGTCAGACTAGTTGTATAGCAGTTATTATTGGGATATCCAGCACAGCAGCTATATACAAAAATATTCTTGCTACCCACTGTGCTTTAGGAAGCGACATTTAATAAGCTGCAGAACCAGCCTCTTGCAATTTTAAGTAGTACAATATTTATACAAATTTCAGCAAACATTTATTATAAGTGCCAATTATATTTAAATACAGTGAACCTTCAGTATTTTTTACTCATACAATTTGAAAGAAGCCAACAAAGGACACCCTGTCAACAAAGTCCTCTTTGAATTGGGTTTCTGAACTGAAATGGTCTTGAATCTTTCAGAAACTTTCCTCATGTCAATCGTATTCTCGTGAGATAGATAAAAAAAATAGATTTTTAACATCAGAATATTTAAAGAAGCATTGAAAATACACCAATAATTCAAACAAAAAATGAAATTCCACTTTTTTCTGATATTCATCTTCTGATCAATGCATAATAAGGGGAGATAAGTCAGATACACAATGACTTGGTTTGGGATACTGCTCATCATGTTTTTTGTTAATACCGTTTGGAACTGTTGCAATTAAAATTACAATATTTGTGCTTACTTTTTAATTATAAATGTGAACCAAATTGATATGCACATAAGTTTCAATGAAGGACGTTTACTCTTTAGCATGGTGATGGGTTTCCACAGGTGTCAGACACCCATGGAGCTACCCAATTAACCATCCCAAGGTCCAAAAATGTTTTCAAAAAAAGGGATTTTATAGTTCCCTGCTGTACAGTGTGATTGACAACATGATTGACAGACTTGGGTGTAAGCAGCAGAGAAACAAAAACTTATCATTTAAAATAAAATTAGTTTCAAATACAAAATTTAATTTAAATATTTATTCATGCTAGACCTATTTCTACTGTTTGACAATTTCTGTGTATTTCAGCAAACAAAATCTGGAACAATAATAGCCAGAAAGTAATGTTTCAAGAAAGTTCTACCTCAGTACTTAATCTGCCCTAAAATTGGAGTTCCCCGATTAACGTTTAATCCCACCTGTCCAGAAATCTTAAAATTTCAAGCAAAAAGGGAAATGATGTTATATCGTCTCTGATAAATAGAAATTTACAGAAAATGGGGATATACAGTGCTGCTTTGATTATAATGTTGGTGTGCTGTGTACCCATCCTAATCATGGCTTCCAGTAATCAATAGCCAAATTCCTGTATTATAAAATACCTGACATCAGGTCATCCAGGCCACTGGTGTCGCTCCCTATGTGTGCTGTACATCTGCAGGAAATACCCCAAAAGTCACATGCAGGAAGCTGACCGTGCAGGTCAGGTCAGGAATAATCCATTCCTAAGCTTGAGCACAGCACAAAATACAGAAAGTAATGTCAGCGATGTTTCTTGCGCTAGCCCACGTATCCAGAGTGCAGGAATTGATATCAGCTGTGACCTGACAAGCTTGAAGCCAGCCTTGTGATTTTGCTTATAATGCAGCTTGTGAACAATTGGACCCATATGATTACATTATAACAATGTTATCCTCTACTATTTTCTTGTGCTTAAAGTAGTTATTTTCTCCAACAACCTTGATCATCATAATTTCTGATATAGTGAGTTAAATCAGTGATGACAATAGACCTTTGCACCACCTGCTGCTGGTGAATTTCACTCTGTATGAGACTACATCTCTCATTGCTGGGCCACTCTAACTGTCAGTGTTGTAGGGACTGCAGAGAATTTAAAGCCAACAGCCGAGAATGACATGCTCTCAAAAGCAATTCTACATAGACTTCATATTGTGATAGTTACCAAAAGGGACAAAAAACTGTCAACACTGTACATCTGCTTGCAAATAAGTTAGTTTTGCTCAACTGATTGCAGTTTCTACACTGGGTCAGAAAGTTGTGGGTCCAAGACTAGGCTGACTGCAGAGTGAAAGATACATTTTTAGTTGCTGTCTTTCAGGTTGAGGCATTAACTTGAGGCCCCATTTGCCGGTTCACAAATGTAATAATCCCATGATCCCCATGTTGGTGGGGGCGAGAGAGAAAGCTGGAGAGAGAAAGAATACTAAGGTAAAAAATAACCTTGTTGGTTGCAATTTGGATCCCATTGGCTGTAAATGTGTGTGGTCAGTTCGCTCACAACCCTTACACCACCCTGCTTTTCATGCCAAAATGGCCAAATTCCAGGTCATAAAGTCAGTGTCAACTCGTTCTTCTTTGTTGAATATATCAACAGTGACCTAATGAGTCAATATGCATACCCTATCAAGCTTTCTTTGTGTTATATTTGCTGCCTCCTCTGATTTCAGTTCCCATCAATTTGGTCTCTCCAAATTTAACTGCTATACAAATTTACATTTATTTAGTTCTTTTCAAGTCAGGAGGGCATCCTAAGTGGCAGACTGTCTAAGGTTTGCACGCAAGCTGAAGGTGGAGGAGCGGCCTGTGAATAAAGCTTATCGATGTTTGGAAGAAACAAGTGGGAAAGTCCAGTAAGGCACCCTGTTTAACAACTCTCGCGATTTTGACTTAGCTCCAATAACAACTCCCCACAACAAGGGTACATGTGGTGATGGAAAGAGTACAGTGTAGGTTTACTAGGATGATACAATATCTGAAAGGTTTCTGCAGGTAAGCATATGTTTGGTTTTGTACACCAATGCAGTGCTGGGGGAATGTGGAGTTGAGAGGAAAAGCAGTGGAGAATAGAATGGTCAAGTGTCGAAGGTGGCAGAGATATGAAGAAGGACACGGCGGCACAGAGTGCTGGTCACAGATAGAGCATATCATTTATGACTTTGACCAGGGCAGTCTCTGTACTGTCAGCAGCATGGAATCCACATTGGAGTGGTTCATGTGGGAAAGATTGAAGCTGGGAAGCAATGCTAGTTCCAGTACCTTGGAGAGGAAAGGGAGGTTGGACATGGACAGTACTTAGGCAACAGGAGTCATCAAATATACTAATAAATGAATTCATTACAAAATACAGGTCAAAAAGGATAGTGAAACGAAAAACAGTAAAGTCAAGACTTGCAAAACTTAAACCAAGGAATAAGCATTAGGAGAAAGAAAAGCTTTAACAATGCATCCTAGCTTGCCTGAATCTAGAACCATCTTCAAAAACTGGTCACATAACTCGCAAACTGTAAACCATTTTAAGTACAAAGTTGAATGGTGAAGTTAGGCAGCTGGAATGGGTGAAACTCAGGTTTCTGCAATCCAAAACAGTGCCCCACATCAACAGTACATTTTGTTGATTTAAATTCTTCCTCCATAGGTAGCAGAGAATTATCAATTATCCAAGTGAAAAACCACAGGAGTCAAACACAGGTGGATCCGCACTCCCTATCCGATTCATTAAAAACTACTCAAATAGAATTACATGCAAATGTTCGAGTTTTATCATCTTTTCTTTCCATTTCTGTAAAAGCAGCTACATTTTATGCATAAAATTTGTACATATTAAATTCAGGGGTAAAGTTTATCCATATTAATTTTGCTCATTGTAATCTCCAGTTTTTTTTCAAAGCAGCATGTAAGAATGAGTCTCTTGAATGAGAACGAAATTCCAGGATTCACCTGCCCATTTGAGGCTACTCTTAAATCATTCAATGCCACAGGTTACCTACAGATTTCTTTCATAATATTCTTCATGTAATTACTGCAATGGAACAAGTCCGCTTGGTATCATCATAGAATCGTACAGCACAAAAAGAGGCCATTCGGCCCATCGAGTCTGTGCCGGCTCTTTGAAAAGAGCAATGTAATGTCAATCCCACTCCCCAGCCCTTTCCCCATAACCCTGCAAACCCGTCCTCCTCAAATACCCGTCCACCGCGTTTTTAAAAGTAGTTATCGAATCGGCCTCCACCACCCTTTCAGGCAATGCGTTCCAGATTCGAACAACACGCTGCGTGAAAAAAATTCTTCTCACCTCCCCTCTGCTTCTTTTAGAAACTATTTTAAATCTGTGACCTCGAGTCACCGACCACCCACCAGTGGAAACAGTTTTTCCCTTTCTAACCTATCAAATCCCCTCATGATTTTGAAAACCTCTATAAGGTCTCCTCGTAACCTTCTCTGCTCCTATGAGAATAATCCCAGCCTCTCTAGCCTTTCCTCACAATCAAGGTCCCTCATTCCTGGTACCATCCTTGTAAATCTCCTCTGCAGTTTCCAAATCCTTAACATCCTTCCTATAATGTGGTGCCCAGAACTGGGCTCAATATTCTAACTGAGGCCTAACCAGTGTTTTATATAGGTTAGTCATAATTTCCTGACTCTTGTACTCTATGGCCCTATTTATAAAGCCTATTATCCCATATGGGCTTTTTACAGCCTTATCTACCTGTCCTGCCACCTTCAAGGATTCATTTACCTGCACCCCCAGGTCTCTCTGTTCTTTTACCCTCATTAAGATTGTATTACCAGCCTGTATTGCCTCCCCTCATTCTTTCTTCCAAAATGCATTAACTCCATTTCTCCACAGTGAATTTCATCTGCCATGTGTCTGCCCATTTTACCATTCTGTCTATGTCTTCCTGCAGTTGGCTACTATTCCTCTCACTGTTTACCACCCTATCTAACTTTGTGTCGTCCGCAAACTTGGAAATGGTACTTGCTATACCCAAGTCCAAATCATTTATGTATATTAAAAAGAGCAGTGATCCTAATACCGATCCCTGGGCACGCCACTGTACACTTCCCTCCAGTCAGAAAAGCAGTCGTTCACCACAACTCTCTGCTTTCTGTCTCCCAGCCAGTTCTGGATCCATGCTGCCACTGTCCCTTTTATACCATGGACTTCTATCTTTCTTACAAGTCTTTCATGTGGCACTTCGTCAAATGCCTTTTGAAAGTCCACATAAACTACATCAACTTCACTACCTTTATCCAGCCTCTCCATTACCTCATCGAAAAATTCTATTAGATTTGTTGGACAAGATTTGCCTTTTACAAATCCGTGCTGGCTGTCCC